AAGCTCTTGATAGTATCAAGGAGACGCTAGTCTCTCCCCCGACTTTGCAAAAGCCGAAACCCGAGGAAATGTTGTTCTTATACCTCGGAGTCAGTGATTCTGCCATTAGCGTTGTTTTGATACGCGAAGAAGGATTGCTGCAGTCACCTTGTTGACATCAAATTCCTACGGACGTCGGATGAACGACACGTGGGCAGAAAGGGAAAAAGAGGGGCCGACCCGAGTAGAACTAGGGTAATGTTCCCGAGTTGTGTAAACCGACCTCAGAGGACCTACTACGTCAAGACACCGACCTCACTGCATAGGTGACCTCAAATATGGGCCGACGTCGGAACCGACAGACAGCATTAAATGTACGTCCATCAAGATAGCTGAGGGCCACGTGAGGACATCATTGCAAAGGGGGCCCACTTGCTGAAAAGGTTCTGGGTCCTGTCACACTGCATTAAATGCCGCCGCATCCCCTCAAAAGACGAGCCCACAGTTACTATAAATAGCAGTATTAAACACAATACGAGGATCTTTTTCGACACATTTAATTCCGCATTTATCACCTCGGTCTTGTAATATTCTCCAACATAATTGTACTATTGAAAACCGACCTCAAGTCCAGAAAACCGACTTGAGCCAATCCCAAGTTATTCCACGCTTAACCAATAAACTCATATTATTTCCATGCGAATCAAAGAAATTAACAATAAAAAAGGTTGATCAAATCCGTTTATCAACAGTTTGGCGCTAGAGGAAGGGCCTCATAAGATACTTTGAGGTCAATCTTTGAATCCAGCATCCACCTTTGAAATCACTAACTCGGAAGCACACAACGATGGCACAGTCCGGACAAGACGATCAAACTACTAGGGGGGAGGACAGTCGTGGCCCGATCCCCTCCACGGGTAGAGCCAACACGGCTATGATACCAGACCTGGCAACACTCATGCAAAACCCCGAATTCGCAAAAGGCTTCTCGACGCTACTGGCTCAAACGATGCCGGGAACCTCGAGAGCCGCACCAGGCCAGTCACTTGCGCCCATAACCCCGGCTAGACCGGCGGCACTGCCGCTGCAACAAGGCGTGAACAACCAAACACGCTCACACGCGACGTCCCAGCCAAGGGACGCCGCCACCCAGCGACCTCCTGCCCAGATGGTGAACCCCCAAGAACAGAATCTGCCAGAGATGACAGCAGAGAGCGAGTCTGGGCATGCCCGGAGGGAAACCGCTGTCGCTAGATCGCTATTCAGGGTGGCGGGAAACCCAACCGACCTCCGACATCAAATAGTGCGGAGCCGAACGGCCAGACACGACAACCCTGAGATGGAAGCCTTGAGGAGGAGGGTCGCCGAACTTGAGATCTTACAGAATCGAAGGGCGAGGTCACCACCCAACCAGCGCAGTCAAGAGACAGGCCACGTGTACGTAGAGACAGACTCTCTGCTATCCCCCGAGCTGACTTTAGAGCCACTAACCGGGAAAATAAAAGTCCCACAAATCGGCTTGTACGACGGAACGTCGGACCCGGACGCACACCTCGGGCATTGCACTTCATGGATGGATCTGCACGGGGCCACCGACGCCCTCAGGTGCCGTATGTTCTCCCTGACTCTGGGACCAAAGGCACAGAAGTGGTACTACTCGCTGCCTGCGCAATCTATCCGACGCTGGGTTCAACTCAGGTCGGCGTTCTGCTCCCATTTCATCGGAGCGCAAGTCTGCCTGATCCCAAAGGAGTCGATCACGAATATCGTCCAGAAGGATGACGAGAGCTTGAAGGAGTATGTTGCCCGTTTCAACGAGCGTGTGCAAAACATGGAGCCATGCCATCCTGAAACACTCTTAGTGAGCGCTATTTCAGGGCTGAAGCCGAAGTCGATGTTCAGGTGGGCGTTGTGCCAAAACAAGCCCAGTACATTCTAGGAATTCTTGGTCCGGGCACAAAACCACGTGATTGCCGAAGAAAGCATGTCGGTCCCGGATTTTACGTTCGCATCCCCGGGACAAAAACCGACGTCGGAAAAGAAGAAGAAATCCTTTGGCAACACACACAAGAAGACCTCCTCCACGGACCCGCGGTGGGGGGATCCGAACGACCCCGAGGTGCGAGCAGCTCGGAAACAGTACCGGGAGGACTTGAAAGAAAGATACCGATCTGTCTACTCGGTCGGAGCAGCCGCCATCTACGAGGAAATAAAGGGAAAGGGAATCATTCCCGATGCTCGACCAGTCAAAACCCCGGAGAGCCTACTCGACAAGGGCCGTTACTGCGACTACCACAGGTCGCCGGGTCACAATACAGACGAATGCCTGAGCCTGTTGTCGGCTCTGATGAAGCTCATCGGTAATCCACAAGTGAGGAAATTCACCAAGGCTGGAGATAGCAAGGGAAAACGAAGAACGCAGGAAATCCCCGATGATGACGAAGGAGATGAAGGGGGATCGACTTTCAAGAGGCTTCGAGCCCAGGGAGATAAGGAAATTTTCGTGATCGGACCAACGGACGTCGGTTCGCCCCGAGACCAACTCAGGAAGAGGGGACGAGAAGCCGACGTCCAGCCACGACCCAGCCAGACGCCTCCAACCTCGGGACGGTCAAGTCCTATTCCCCGAGTTAATACTAACCGAGATACACCGACGTCATCCAGAAGGCAGGCCAAGGCCTATGCGCGAAAGGCCTACAACTCGGGGAAGCAGGTCATGACCTCGGATCTTAGAGAAACGATCAACGCCCGCACCTGCCTGATCACTTTCACGCTGGAGGACGCAAGTCTGTTCGTTCATCCACACTCGGACGCACTCATAATCACGGCCCCCATCTGCGGTATCCCTGTCCACCGGATCATGGTGGACACAGGGGCCTACACGAGCATCCTCATGCTCAAAGCGTTCAACAAGCTCGGGATAGACCCCGCCGAAGTCAGCCCTTGCAACGACCGCGTCCACGGCTTCAACGGGAGCGTGGCGCTCCCACTAGGGGAAATCACACTTCCCATTCGGTTCGGAGGAAGCGGGCAGACGTCCAAAGTCATCATGGAAACCTTCAAGGTGATGGACCTCGACAATGAGTACAATGCGATTATCGGGAGGACGGCGTTGTATAAACTCTGAGCTGCGGTTTCCATTTTCCACTACGCTATAAAGTTCCCCACGGCAGACGGAGAAGGAACCCATTACGGGGAACAAAGGGAAGCAAGGGAGTTGTTCTTGGAGATACCGTCTCGAGAAATCCACATGGTGGGAGAAGCTGACGCCACGGCAGGCAATGACCCGGGGCACGGGGACAGCGAGCAACCGCCGACCACAGATGAGGAAGACAAAACTCGGGATCGGGGAAGGCGACCTGGGAAGGAGCCGGCCAAAGAAGACGACATCCTCGATCCCCGAGATCAGTTCAAGGAAAAGAAGTCAGGGAGCCGAGCTGAGCCCTCAGAAGAAGTGGAGATAATCGATGTCGGCAGCCCGACCTGCCCTAAACAGCTCCGAATAGGAGCATGCTTGCCCGAACCACTCAGAACTGAACTGATACAATTCCTCCGGGCAAATGCCGACGTCTTCGCTTGGAAGCACGAAGATATGAAGGGGATCGACCCAAAAGTTGCATGCCATCGGCTCAATATCGATAAGACGGTGAAGCCGGTCATCCAGAAGAGGAGGAAGCTCGGTCCAGACCGACAACAAGCCCTTGAGGAGGAAGTGGGCAAGCTGGTCAACAACAAGTTCGTCAAGGAAACCAAGTATCCGACCTGGGTGTCCAACCCTATCTTGGTCAAAAAAGCAAACGGAGCATGGCGACTGTGCATAGACTTCTCTGACCTCAACAAAGCTTGCCCGAAGGACAGCTACCCCCTGCCACACATCGACTACATGGTCGACGCAACCTCGGGCCATGGGCTCATGAGTTTCATGGACGCCTACTCGGGCTACAACCAGATTCCTATGGACCCGGAGGAAGCGGAGCACACCTCGTTCTACTCGGCTCGGGGACTGTATTGCTACACGATGATGCCTTTTGGGTTGAAGAACGCTAGGGCCACCTACCAGCGGTTAGTCAATAAGATGTTTTCTAGACTGATAGGGCAAACTATGGAGGTCTATGTTGATGACATGTTAGTGAAGTCGGTCGTAGCGAATGATCATGTAACCCATTTGAATGAAATGTTTAAGATTTTACGCGATTACTCGATGGTGTTGAATCCTAAAAAATGTACCTTCGGGGTAAAGTCGGGAAAATTCCTGGGCTACATGGTCAGCCAAAGAGGGATTGAGGCAAACCCGACAAAAATCCAAGCAATACTTGACCTCAAACCCCCCACCTCGGTAAAAGGAGTATAGGGTCTGACCGGGAGGTTGACGGCCCTGAACCGATTTATTTCAAAGTCGACTGACCGCTGTAAGCCTTTCTTTGATGCCATCAGAAAAGGGAAAAAGTTCGAATGGACCGACGAGTGTCAGAAAGCCCTCGAAAATATCAAAGATACGCTAAGCCGACCCCCGGTACTGCAGAAACCGAAGCCCGACGAGATGCTATATTTGTACCTCGGGGTCAGCACCTCGGCGGTCAGCGCAGTGCTCATAAGAGAGGAAGAAGCGTGCCAATACCCGATCTATTACGTGAGAAAGGCGTTGCATGACGCCGAACTCAGATACCCTCCAATGGAAAAGCTGGCATACGCACTCATCATAGCGGCGAGGAAGCTCCGACCCTACTTTCAAGAGCACTCAATAACCGTCTTGACGGCCCATCCATTGAGGCAAGTCTTGCACAGGCCAGACACGTCTGGGAGGATGATTAAATGGGCCATGGAGTTAGGACAGTTCGATATACACTACAAACCCCGCACGGCCATCAAAGGACAAGTGCTGTCGGATTTCATCGCCGAGTTCACCCCCGCGATCCGAGAGTGGACGGACACCCGGCCATGGGTGATGTACGTTGACGGGTCGTCCACCGCAGCTCGGGCGGGGGGAGGTGTGGTCCTAGTCGACCCAGAACAACGGGTGTATTGTCACTCGGTCCAGTTCCTTTTCCCGGCCACTAACAATGAAGCCGAGTACGAGGCCTTAATATCCGGTTTGGGTCTTGCTGAAACCATGAATCTTACCCACCTAAACGTCTTCTCGGACTCCCAGCTGCTCGTTAACCAAGTCCTCGGCAGTTACGAGGTAAAGGAGCCTCGGTTGACGCCGTATCTGGCGTTAGTCAAACGGCAGATGGCGAAGTTCGTGATCAAGATCGAGCATATCCCGAGGACGTCGAACGTGCAAGTCGATGCCCTGTCGCACCTCGCGTCAAGCGCGAACATGGAGGACGTCGAATACGTACAGGTCGGGAGCCAGGAGAAACCATCAACTTCGACGCTCCTGGTCGGCCAGGTCGGAACCGAGGAGATCGACAAAATACCGACCTGGATGGACCCAATCATCGCATATCTAACGTCGGGAGCGCAGCCTCAAGACCCCCGAGAGGCAAGGTCGCTGCGAGTACGAGCTGCCAGATACACCTTAGACCGAGGAGTGCTCTACAAGCGAGGATACTCGGTTCCACTTCTATGATGTCTGACCGAGCAAGAGTCGTTGTTCGTGCTCCAAGAAATTCACGACGGCGTATGCGGAAGTCATTCTGGGGGCCAGGCCCTCGCCTACAAAATTCTCTGGAGAGGATACTACTGGCCGACACTCAGGAGGGACGCCGCCGACTGGGTGAGGAGGTGCAACAAATGCCAAGTGTTCGCGCCCAACAGGAACCTGGTGCCCGAGCCCCTCAAGTCGATCGTAAGCCCCTGGCCGTTAACCAAGTGGGGAATCGACCTGATCGGGCCGCTACCCACCGGTAAAGGAGGAGTGAGGTTCGCGGTTGTCGCGGTAGACTACTTTACCAAGTGGGCGGAAGCAGAGCCGCTAGCGACGATCACCGAGCAGAAAATGGTTGACTTCATCTGGAAGTCGATAATATGTCTTTTCGGCGTGCCCAACTCGATCATTACCGACAATGGGAGGCACTTCGAAGGAAAAAGATTAGAAGAGTTCTGCACATCGCACGGCATAAAGCATTACTTTGCAACCCCGTATCACCCCCAGACGAATGGTCAAGTCGAAGCGGTGAACAAGTTAATCAAGAATGGTCTCAAAACACGGTTGGAAGCGGCGAAAGGCGCTTGGCCCGAAGAATTGCCCGGTGTCCTGTGGGCGTACCGTACGACCCCGAGGTCGTCAACGGGAGAAACCCCGTTCTCACTATCATATGGGTCAGAAGCCATGATTCCCGTGGAACTCGGATCACCGACCTACCGAGTAGAGAACTTCGCGGAAGACCAGAACGACGACAACTTACGCATGAACCTCGACTTGGTCGAAGAGCTGCGAACGCAAGCCGAACTCAGAAATGCAGCTTACAAACAGAGGTGCGAGCGCTATGTCAACTCTAAACTCAAACCTAGAACTTATCAAGTCGGGGACCTGGTCCTGAAGAGAGTGACAGGGCCCAACCCAGGTCCTTTGAAACCGAAGTGGGAAGGACCCTTCAAGATAAGCCAAGTGCTGCCTCATGGGGCCTACAGGTTGGAAGACTTGGATGGAACGCCCCAGCGATACCCGTGGAATGCGGTGTACCTCAAAAAATATTACCAGTGACGTTGAACCGGCCACCGTGCCACAAGTCGGTCTCCGCACCGACGTTCTGCAAAAACCGGCCTCTGTGCTACTAGTTGGTCTCCGCGCCGATGTTCTGAAAAAACCGGCCTCTGTGCCACTAGTCGGTCTCCGCGCCGACCTTCTGCAAAAACCGGCCTCCGTGCCACTAGTCGGTCTCCGCGCCGACGTTCTGCAAAAA